ATACAACAGTATAGTCAGAATTAATCACATAAAATGGTACAATATGTTGTATTGAAGACTTAAAAGAACTTTTTTGTTTGTTAAATCTGTTAATTAATGACATAGATAGCTCATCAAGATATGAAATAAATAAACTAATTCTAAAATAAACTTCTGGATAATTATAGTATCAGTCAATAATGTGAGTTTTATATTTCAAAAATAACATACTAAAATAGAACACCAAAAATAATAGTAGTTACGAGCCATGGTTTCATATAAATATATAATTATATAATATAGCAATATGCATTAAATGTTTTAATTGAATCTGAAATTTCACTATGGGCCCGGGCCTAGGGAGCCCCACCCCTATATACGTCACTGAATCTCTCAATACTTTTTACACTGCAATCTTATAAATATAAAAATATTAAATTAGATTATAATACGCTGTTTGATTCAACCATAAATGTAAATTTTGATTTATCTTCTTGGTGTACCCCGCTCCCGGTAAACATGCCACCGATAATGTTATGTGCTTAAGCTATAAATTGCAACAGTTCGGCGTGTTAGCACGCAATGATCGCATGGTCATCATCGCCATCATCGTTACTATGTCACATCGTTGTTTTTCCGAAATATTGTGGTGAACCGAAATATTCCTGTGTTTTTGAATACTCGAGTAATGTGCGTACGATTGTGTATCGCTCGAAGCGTACGAACATTATATAATATAATATTTTCGTGCTATGTGTTCAGCTATGCAACCATTTGCATGTCAATTGTTTGCACAATCAATTATTGTTCATAACACTCGCACATGGCGTACGCGTACGTCCACGTTGATGTATCTATTTCAAGAAGATCGGCGGTGAAATGTGACGTAAAATAAGCATAACAATGTAGACGTTCAGATAACGTTCGTGATGTTATTGTAATTATTATTATTGTAAACAATTCCGCGTTCGAGTGCAGTAAACTGGTTTCGTTAGATTGTGAATTCGTCGGGTTATTATTGAAAATGCGATTCGGAACACACGCCGTTTAGCTGCAGGTATTTTTTTTTTTACGAAACGCAGGTATTTCGTTATTTTTATCGGTGAAAAGCCGACGACTTCATCCGTTCGGGCGGAAACGTAACGCATGTTGCTTTACTTCACAGTGCGAACGTATTAGATGTTATTTTCTTTTTTACGGGACTTTCGCCGTACGAATTCATTGGCAATTACGATATCACCGCCTTCCCGGTGAACGTCGTGCCATCTTTGTACGCACCTAAACAATATTTGATGAATGTTCAACGTCGGAAACATTGCACCAAGTCCAATAACGAGACATTTTTACTACTGTTACTGACCAACCTTCTTTTTACATCGATTTGGTGTCTACTATTGATAAACGTCTACGGTACGTACCAAGTCGTTTGACGTCGATAAAAATGAATTCTATCGTATTTACAATTACTTTTAACCATTTCTTTACCAATGATTCAAGAATATTTAATAAATTTTAAACATACATATCACTAGAACATATTTAACGACAAAACGCATAAACGAATTATATATTAAATGTATGATATTCAAAAACCGTTTCGGTATGTCAATAAAATAAAAATGAACAATAATGATATAATAAAAATAAAAATTAGTAAATTGTCAAGACTCGTAAATTAATATACAAATAAATGAACAAATAGCTTATAAAAGGCTAAGAATTTATTTATATTTTTATTTATAAGGATAAACACACTATATTTAGCCAATATATCAGTGGTTCCTAACATTTCCGAGACTAATATCCGTAAAACGAGTAAGATATTAGTAAATACCCTTACCCACTAAAAAAAATGTGTGCCAGGCCTAACGTAAAACCCGCATTATCGGGTTATCCGTCATCGCAAAGATGGATCAGTGTGTTATGTAAAGAAACGTGTAATTTTTTTTATTTTTTTATTGTTTGTATTTATGTAAAAATGGTTCGTTTTGAAGAAGATAATCGAGAGCACACTATATAAATATAATTTGAAGATAATAAAAATATAATTATTATAATAAGAGGTACAAAAATACATAATAAAAACATAAAAAAAATTTATTCAATCCTTACCCCTCAAAAATCTTATTTTACTCCTTAGGCGGTAATCACTCCCAAGTTGGGAACCACTTCAATACATGTATGTATTTTAGAAAATACTATACAATAAATATGATTTTCCATAATAATTATAACTTATTTTATTATAACATTTTAAAATGTTAAATGCCACGTATTAATTATATTATAACACTACTTGTATTATTTTTGATACGAAAAGACCTTGTCTTTAAAAACTGATGACGATATTATTTTTATGGAGAACTCCGTTTACAAAGTCATACGAAGTATTTTCTCTTGTATTTTGTATATGATAATTTAAAAATGACGCATTTTTTTAAAATAGGTTTAAAACTTTTTTTAAAAAATTTATGATAATGAAAAACATATTACTATGTTGATGAACTGATAATATTACATGTGGTAATAGTATTGCATCAATTGTAAAGCAAAAAAATTTATTTGATAAACAGAGTTACTATGTTATCATCGGACAATAGAACATATGTTCAAGGTGTAGAGAATTGCAATCAGTATCCACATTGTATATGCCACCTATACACTTCTACTACCTCATATAAATAAATTTAATTTGATATTTAAATTATTTTCTCAACAATAGTCAATTTATAATTTTATACTTCAATTAAATTAGGATACCACTGTTTTTTTTTTTTTTTTTTGATAAATAAACGCACTACAAAACTCACAACCTTATTATTATCCGGATAATGTAATATGAGATTTTCCACCCTAAATATAAACTAAATACAAGAACATAATGATAACCATTTTGATTATATTTTATAGCAGTTAAGTATTTGCTATGTAATATAGGGACTGCGGAGAAAAGAAATAAAAACAATATATTTTAATTATAAAAAAAATTAAAAAGAAAAAGTTTTTTTTTTTTTAATTTAATGTTATTTAATTAAATTAATCCTTAATTCATTTTTATCAAAGATATATTGTGATGTGGAAAACATTATCACTGAAATTGGTCGATTCCTTATTAATAATTATGAATGCATTTCACCTGAGTTAAAATTATATTCTAGATAAAAAAAAAAAAAAAAAACTGTAAATTGTTGAGTATATTGGCATTCATTGTACTGAAGTGCTTATTTTAATAGAAATATTATTTATTGGCTTGTTAATTGCTTAACTAATGAAAAAAATCAATTTCTTTTCATTAATATTTCCTTATATATAACACTTCATATCGTTCAACAAATTACTTGTAATAGTTCTATAATTTTAATCATAAAATGTAAAATGAAAATTATGTCAAACACGGATATTTTATTTTTCTAAGTAGGTACTGCGTTTTCAAATCGAATCATACAACTACTTGTTTTAAAAATTTATCACGCATCATTTATCGATTCATTTGTAAAACAGATACTATGATAGTAATTTACCTGACTATAAGTTCATTGTAAACCGATTATTGTTGAAAATGTTTTTGTTTCAAATTAGGTCCAATTATCAATGACATTGCAAACACAATACTTATCTTTAGTAGGTTTATCTAAATCAGTTTGCGTGATTAAAAAAGCTAAGCTAGAATGTTTGCTTCTAAATATTTAAACATAAATAACTGTTATTATGACGGGTCCGAGTTCTTTGGTGAAATCAAATGTTGTTTCAGACAGAACAAGATATAGAATTTTTTTCTGAGACATATTTTTTTATTTAAAAATAGCTATAAAAAAAAAGCAGAAGTGGTTTTAAATAAACATGAGATTAAAATAAAAATAAATTCGAATGTGGAAAAATAAATAGCAGCATTAGAGATTTTTTGGTAAAAATTCTATTTTATGATAAAATAAACAACAATTATAATGTAAGAATTTCAAAGAAAATTAATTATCTGTAGCGGAACATACATTTTGGTTAACATAATTAATTTCATCAAATTGCTACATCAGAAATAGAAGTATCAAGAACAAAAATAGTAGGTAAATAGGTGCTATTTTAAAATTATTTCTTTATGTCGTATTAACGCTAAACATTTCGTTAAAAAAATATCAAAAATATTATGGACATTTATAATAAATTTATTTCTATATGCTTTTGAAAAAAAAAATTAATAAAAATCTTTCGTAAATGATTAATGATGAAACGATGTTTTATTCATAGAATATGTATTGTATTAAAAACAAAAATTTCGTTGAATCCTTTTTTTTTTTACTTAAAAATCATTCAATTATCAGTCTGCAATACAGTTTTTATTTTTATTATTTTTATTTTTATTAGATTAAACCATTCAGAAAACATGAAACTGGAATGTAAAATTCATCAAAAATGAATTATTGTAATATAGTATGAATCTCGAATGAAACGACCAACAGTAGCGTATAATATATTATTAATATTATTAATATAATATATTTATTATAATATATTATGTTATTTTGCAGAGCTTGGAAATAAAACGTGTTTAGTAGGAGCTAATTGAATTTGATTATAATTTTCTAACGATTAAAACGTACTCATATTGTTTTTTTAAATAAAATAAACCGAACATATGGTACCTATTATCATTACCAACGAGTATTGACGATCGTTTCGCACTCAAAGTTTTTTTTAAATAATTTTCTAGGATTTTTAACCGAGTCAACGTTCAAAGTCTTAACGCGTACATCATAACGATACTGTAAAAATAGCCGCAATCGTTTTCGTTTAGAATTTTTGATCTACCCAACACCCGCTCCCTCGAAAACGCGATGATATTTTAGTCCTGCAATCCGGTCCTTTGCGAACAGTAGATTCGTGCCTGCACAATACCGAATGTCCGACGGATCTTTGCGTAATCGGATCGAAAAAATAAAAATAAACATTGGAAAACAACGCAAAAACAATGGGAGACACGAGACGATGAACATTTTAGCGTAACGATTGCTTTTAAATGTACTTACTGGACACGGCATGACGACTGTAGCGCACAATATAATATAATGATCGTTGAACCGGTTGGATGGCAGGCGTAAGCTTATGGCGATCGTTCCGGGTGCTATGACGCGCTGATTACGTTCAATATCGGTTATTAACTATAAATATGATTACAAGCGAATGTCAAGCGAAGGAGAAGATCGATGATCTATGACACTCGTCTATTATTTTAAGAATTTTTTTTTTTTGGATCTCCTAGGCTCTTGATCGTGGTCGATAAAAATCCATTCGTTTCACCAACACAAACCGAGGAAGAAGAAAAAATACAATAATAAACACACGAATAGTTTGCTACGATATCCAAAACGGTTCGCGACGACTGACGACGACGACAACGATGGGCGACGCGGCGAACGGTTGACGGGCAAATACGGTTTTCAAAAGTTGGAGCCACGAACTGAGGCGGCGGCATTTCGGTCCGCTGGCGCACGCGCTCCCTGGCGAGATATGCGCACAGTGCACACCGAGTACACACGTGCACGTACACGCGCCTAAAGCTCACACGCGTTCGAACATATTATCATATTATCGTCCCCGTCCTTAGCGATGTTCTATTGTTAAACCAAAAAAAAATCCATAGTACACGATTGTCGGAAACCGATCGCCAACACCGTTTCATACCTTTGCGATCCTTTGCTCGTCGCTTCAATTTTTCCAAATCACTTTTTTCCGTCCGCACGCAACTGTAACGGAAATCGCGGGCACCGTAGCGTATCTTCAGAAGCCGCAAATAACGGCGTTAGAGTTACTGTTCTTAGGAAAAATATGACGGGATATTTCGTACCACATTAGATGGAGTACACGAGTTCCGCGTAAAACCAGTTTTTTTAAATTCTTTTATCACCATCTAAAATTATATTGTCATCGATGCAAATATAAATGAGATATCTAGAAATTACCGATAACCGACTAAAGTAAAATCCGATTGCGTACGTTCGTTATAGGCGATAAATTTTTATGTAACACGATTCTGTACGATATTACCTGATTTTTAATCACACGATTGTGGACGAAGTTTTAAGCGCTTATGCTAATTTTTACACTGGTATTGGTGTATAACACATGCTGCCTATACGAGTGAACTCGAAAAATTTAATAAACACTTTGTGTTCTATCGCTTTTATTACCTATGTTTATTATTAATGATATCAAATATATCATATATAACGAAATTTCGTTATTTCCGTTATATTATACGGAATTTTTCGAGTTTTAGTAAAAGTAATAGGTTATATATGTCAATAAATCCGAATTTAAACATTTTTAAATAATTTATTGATAATAATATCATTCAAATAAAAACTGTCGATTTTATTTATTTATTAATTACTTTTCTTTTATTTAGCTATCCCCTCGTTTTATTTATTATTTTATTATTAATTTTTTTTATGAATTATTATAGAACTGTTAGTTTATATATATAATAGTATTCTATATTTATTAAAGATAATACAGTGAAATTAGTAAATTTACAATAAACATACAATTTCATACCCAATTGTGTTTATTTATTTTTCTTACCCACCTTTTTGTTACCCATCTATAAACGTACGCAATCGTGTTCTACCCAACCGACTGATCACTATTGCTGCGCACACTGCTGCTGCACACGGTCGAAAAATGATTCATGCTTTACGATAATTTTAACCTTATTCTTGTACGTATTAAAAATTAATCACAACATTGCTTAATACGTTCTCGAGCTTTTCGAGGAGCACAAGGGAACATTTTCAATGTTCACATAAAATAAGTTTCCGGTGGGAAAGCTAACGTTATATAAAGCACAAAAAATTATAAATCGCAGTCAAACACCCTTGCATATTCAAATCACGAATTACCAACAGTCTGAGATGGATCCACAATCAATATGATCGATGTTAAGAGTACGAGAATGAACACTTACGACCGATGAAGGTTTATTTCCAGATATGGTGCGATCGTATCGTTTAGTAATTCTTTGTAAACGTCGTTTTAACTTCTGCCGATCGATAATTTATCTGATCGTGTCCTAATATTCTCTTCAAATGATATAACGAATGCATCGCGTATAACAATTGATGGTATCGCCGTACAACGAGCGATGAGAATTCGATTACCGAACAAATAATACCGATGAATGCGATGAATGTTTTTACAGTCATCTAAACTCTAAGTACAGAGCACAGTAAACAATGTATAATAATGTGCTATTGTAGAGAATACGATTTTATTCTTTGGCCGGGTGTAACGTATTTATTTCGTGCATGTTATTGAAGTATCTAAGTACAAACCGAGTTTGTTTCGACCGAGCCAGTGAACCGCAAGCTGTCGTGGCAGACGGATTCAATTAAATTACATGCCCAACAACACGAAAACCTTAGTTAATGTGTACAGGATTACGAATGGACCGCGTCACGAATATTATTAAAACAATATTCTTCTTCTTCGGTAAACTCGGCCACTAGGACCATCCCGACATACATCCTTGCCTCCAGTTTTCTCTATTCGATGCCTGTAATCTCCAATCTTCTCCTCCACCTAATGCTTTCACATCATCCCTAACTCCGTCCTCCCATCTCCGACGTGGTCTTCCCAGCGGTCTTTTTCCATTAGGGTTCTCCTCCAGTACCATACGTATGAGTGGGTTTTGACTACGCCAGGCGTGCCCAGCCCAAATCAATCTTCTGTTCTTTATTGTTTCGAGTATACTGGGTTTATGAAAGAGTGTCTCTAGTTCATCATTTTTCCTTATTCTCCATTCCCCACTAAACATGTCTTTTACTGGTCCAAAGATCTTCCTCAGTATTTTTTTTCTTTCCAGTACTAAGAGTTTTCTTTCATCACTTTTCCTTAATGGCCACGCCTCAGCTCCATAAGTAATAACAGGTCGTATTAATGTGATGTATAATTGTAATTTTAACTCTCTTGAAAGTGATCTTGATCCCAGTAATTTCGCAAGACCATAAAGGCATTTATTTCCTGACAGAATTCTTGTTCCTATTTCTATTTCGATTTCATTTCTCTCTGAAAGTATGGATCCTAGGTACTTAAATTGTCTTGTTCTTTTGAAATTTCGGTTGTTGATGTTAAGAGTTGGATATAATCTTATAGTGTCTCGTCTTCCTACTACCATATATTCCGTTTTGTCCTCATTGATATGGAGTCCAACTTTCAGTGCTGCTTTCTCCAGCCGGTTTAATAAATCTTTTAGTCCGTCTTGTGAATCCTCCATGATCACCAGATCATCTGCATAAGCCAGAAGTCCTATGGACGATTCATGGAATTTAACTCCTTCTTGCGGTGTAATATTCATCTCTCTTACAACTTTCTCTACTACTATATTAAATAAGATTGGTGACATAGCATCTCCCTGTCTTAATCCCAATTTAACTAAAATTGGGTCTAAGTTTGTATTTCCAACCTTAACTTTGACAAATATTAAAACAATAATTATTATAATTATTACGCACCGTACGAGGAACATTCGTGTGGAATATTTCTTTCGTTTTTGTTACGATGAAATTTTGCTGTCGTTTGTTTCACCGACGACATAATGGATCCCGATGATCAGGTTTGCGTGAAAGCTTACGTGTATTTTCCATCTTGCGAATCGTCGTCAAGACCTGTAATCCATTTATTGGCCGACTAGCTGAATTACCCGTCGTTGCCGGGTTTAAGTATATAAATTTATGTAACCTGCCAAGATTAAATTTTGTTAAATCTATTGAAATTTAAATTAATTAAGATTTTTGAAATAATATTTTATACATTTTAATTTAGTTTTTAAGATAATGATTATTATCATAACCTATTCGATAAGTTATAGCTTTTGGCGGCAGAAGCTTTGTTCACGATAAATTTCAGCACTAAAAGTTCAAAATAAATGTTTTACTAATAGTTTTTCAATATGTTATCTACAAAACTTCTTTGTAGACAATATTCTTCACTGATCTATTAGTAGGCGACAAAATCACCAAGCTACTGGGTGAGCTTACGCGTGAGCAAGCTACGTAGAACTGCCCATGTGAAAAACAGTTTTCTCGCAAATCTATTCCTGCAAATTTAAGAGTTTGGCCTTGTTACTTGTTTATAGTCATTGCAAAACAGACTTTCAGGGGAAACTGTAATCGTTTAAATTCGAACGGATGATCATTCGGAATTAAAGGGATTCGTGGTACAAACACAGTTTCCCCTTTTGCACATCCTGTTAAAATTGTGGCTTCTACAATATTGCGATGTAAAGCTTTGACTTTAAGCCTGGTCCCATTGCACAGTTTAGGCGGTTTCAAATTTCGCAACATCATAATAGGTATGCCCACACTCAGAATAAGCCTATGATATGGCATGCCCGGTGGTTTCAATGAATTTAAAAATTCAACCGGATAATTAGTTGCATCGTCCATGTTGACCACCGTATCTATTGAAGTATATACTTTTTCTTCCCCTTCAAAAGACATCAGCAGTGTATCATTGATAGCCGCCGCTTGGTCATTTTTGGAGTGAGTATAGCACGTTCACACAACCATTCCATAGGCTTATCATGAATATGAGCAATATCTGGATAAATTTTTGATATTAAATCCTGAACCGTAGTTACAACTGTACACAAATTTTCTGGGATAGTTATCATTTAATCAAACGATGGATAATCACCATTGCCAATTTTAAGTAAAAGATCTGAAAATCCACCAGCAAACTTTTCCTCTCCCAAGTATACCCTCATATTTTTTGACAGTTTGAGTATATTAATCTTAGGCCATAAAGTAGATCTTTTAAGACATGACTTGACTTCATCAGTTCTGGTCCCTTTTGGTACTTCTGGTAGAGTCTGCCTAAAGTCTCCAGCCAGTAAAACCGTTATACCACCAATTAACCTTTTATTTTCCCTTATATCCTTTAGAGATCTATTTAAAGCCTCAACACCACCCTTATGCGCCATTGTAATTTCGTCCCACACTATTAATTTTGTATCTTTTAAAACTTCCGCAAAATTACTTTGTTTTGATATATTACAAAAGGGAGTGGCCGAAGTAGTTAGATTGAGTGGTAATTTGAAGGTAGAATGGGCCGTTCAACCACCCTCGAGCAGTGTTGCTACGATTCCAGAAGATGCTACAGCTAAGGCAATGTCGCGAGTACTTATAACTTTCGCTTAAATCAAATTGATTAAGAAAGTTTTTCCAGTTCCACCTGGAGCATCTAAAAAGTATATTCGACCCTCATTATTATTAACACTTATAATAATTTGATTGTAAGCAAACTTTTGTTCGTCATTCAGAGATTCTTCATTGTTTCTTCGACGTCTTCTAAGGCTACTAAGTCATAACGTGTTTCCTTGAGATACTCTCTATTATCAAATTGTTCAAATTTGCTTGGCTGAGGTA